GGGGCGATAGATGTGTACGGGAGTATATATATGAGTTAATGATTACTGCAATGAAATATATATACTCCCGTACACATCTATCGCCCCACCTAGCATTTTAAGATTTCGCTTATGGTTTTGACGGTCCCTAATTAAAAATAAATTTTGCATTGATTAAAAAGTTTTTACGCAGATTTGAAGCTGATTTATTAACCATCATTTACGTGTGTTTTTAAAATATTATTATTATTGCTCAACCCAACTTAATAAAATTTTGTTACAGACTTTTAAAACTTATAACACTGAGTGGGCCGATAGACGTGTATGGAAGTTTATGTAGTTTTGCATAATGTATGAAACATATCATTTAAATATGGCGGGTCTAGATTTTTTATTATTTTAATCCAGACGCTAAACTAGTTGATGCAGCAGATAAATGTACCTCACCACTCATATTCATTCACTGAAGCTTACTTACTGACAGAAATACAACGTTACAGAAAGCTCATGTTCTTACATGTTAATTTAAGGAAGGAGTACATTTATTACATTTTATTATTTTTTCTTTTATTACATTCTTAAGATTACGCTTGTTTCTCAGAGGGAGGGAGTATTTCTCATCAATCGAGCGGCCCAATATATACGAGTATACGTTAAAATTGTGTAACTTTTTACACGGGCTATTTTCATCTTATGTTGCGTTTCAATAATCATTCTTATTAGCAGGTGTAGCCCGTAAGAGTTAACTTGAGACTTGAGCGCCGTTGTGTACTACCTAATGCGCTCAGGTCTCAAGTTAATTTTTGCGGATTATAATAAAAGTCTCGTATAGAATGAATTTTTATTCTCCGCTAATATAGCTCACAATATTTAATTCAATTTGAAGTTATAGTGGTTTTTAAGTAGGTGAATAAACGGGGGCGCTAGAAAGGACTTTATTCTCAAAGTGACAAAATAAGTTTGGGAACCCCTGGTCTAACTAAACCGATTTTGATGAATCAAAAGTGTTGAGGAGCGGTGGATTGCATTAATAATAAATGGATGAATGCATACAAAGGCAACAGACACACTTTCGCATTTTAATAGTTATTCGTATTCCTCGATAGGTAATTTTAGATAATAGACCGCGGGCAATCATATTTCAACAAGTTTTTGTTAAATAACCCGATTTGTGCAATTCTGTATCAATCAGCTACATAGAATGCTTGTTCTACTTGTTGAGTACGTTTGAGTGTCGTATGAAATAGTACGTAGAAATACGAGTTTATGCATGTTTTTCTTAAAGTTATAATTTTTATTTTTAAGCATGTAACTGCTTGATGATTAAATCTAAAGAAAATATAACTAGGAAAATTCGACGCGGAGCAGGCAGATATATATTCTTTAGATTTAAACATCAAGCAGTTGCATGCTTAAAAAACGTATAATTTAAAATACATTTCTAGCAGTTTACTATGTTACGTGCTGGAATTTAATATCATTGCTAGTCTATGTGAAAGCTTTTAGTAATATTTCTGTACATTTTTTTTAAGTAAGCTTAGGTTTTCTCATTAGTACAAAAATTATTAGATTAAATTCAAAAGATGAGATGCACTATCCACCAACGCGTCATATAACTGCATTAGCTGAGATGAAAAGGGAAAAGCGTTTTTCTAGAGTAAATATTATGTTTATTCCAACAAGTTCTTGCTCCTGCGAATGTGTTGAGTATGTCAGCTATGGTATGAAATGGAGGTACACTATGGTGGTGTAAGTAGATAATTGTAAGATTTTTTTAGAAAAATCGAAAATTGGAACTTATAACTAACTTCCTCAACATTTTTTGAAATATGCTTATTGTTTAATTTTTGGACACAACAAACACTTAAGTGCTGGGGTACAGATCTATCCTATAGATGAAATAGGGATAATGGGCCATAATCAACCTCTCGGATCCAGTGCGGATTGATGTGTGCTAACGACTGCACATGCAATCAGGACCAAAGGCTTAACGTACCTTCTGAATCACGGAGGTGCTCAGGAGAATAAATTTTGGTCATCCATCCGATGTCCGGGCTTGTTTTTAAAAAATAATGTTGGAAAAATGCTTTACGCATACCCCGCCTCTGGGTAGACTTGCGTCTTTTCTCGTGTCCCGGAATTAGACTTCACTGTCACGGAATCCGATAACGTACTAAACTTAAACGTTTGTAACAAAATAAAGTAATATCGAATGCCACGGCTGGCCTTCCTGTGAGTGCGGGCTGCGTGCGGGATGGAAGTGCGATAGTTTACTTCTAAGGAAAGTTTTTACTCTGGGCAAACGTCAGGATTTGATCGACATAAGGTATATTTTCATTAGATGTTTTATTTCTAGGGGGGGGGGGGGGGGGCACATGTCCCGGTATTGCTAAGTCAGCATCTGGCAACCCTATCCTGAGAGACGGGGTTATGTGGGACCCCTCCTCCTCCGATATTCCGCCCACACGCTCAGCCAGCCCGGACTGGCTCAGCGGTTGCTAGGAAAGGGCCCTAGCCCAATAAAAACCTAACAGTGCTTCCTCGCCTGCCGAAACAGGTGTCGTCTGGAGGAAAACTTCCTCGCCGAAGGAGACTACCGCTTTCCAGTATCTCTGTTACGACGCTGGGCGGCGAGAGATCCCGTTCTATTGCCACGATAATATCTGGTGCTGCCGGGACCACGACGGGCACTACTCTAGGGTGTGCTGCGCCGTGTTATCGACAGCATCACAATGATGGCACAATCGGGTGTCTCCGTATGCGATGCAGGTAACTGCAACTTCTGTCTGGTGCAGGTCGGAACATCTATGCCCCGACAGCACCTGCACCATACAGAAGGTCAGCGACCCATGCCTCCTCTCCCTCCACCGGCGGAGTATCGGTCGCATTGCATCCAGGGTCCTGGTCTCGTACTGCTGGGTCCAGACCTCGCCATTCCACTCTTCCTGGACGAGCTCCTCCAGCCGTCGCCTGCGGGCGAGATTTTCCTCGGGGGCTAGTTGCTCCCTCTTTGCCGGACCTCTAGCCTTTCCCATTAGAGACGGAACAGGGCCTTTGCCTCCAGCGCCCACGGGGTACCCTGTTTTTGCGCAGGAAGCCGCAAATGATGTGGTACAAGAGGTTCGCGCAGCCCTTTGCGTCACTATTCTCTGCGGCCCCTGCAGCTCTCTGCGGCTCGTCGCGTCGATGCACTCCGCCCAGATCAGTACCCCATAAAGAGTCCATTTAAGGAGATCGTTAAATTAAATAGTAAATAAAGTGACCCAAGTTTTTAACAGTCAAAAGTAAGTTGTAAGATTTTTAAATTTAGACGTAATGCCCAGTGTTATGAATGCCATTTGTAAGTAAATAAATATTTATTTTTGAAGTAAATTTTATCATCAATAGAAAAGATATTAAGTCACGTTCTGTAACTGCTGTAGGTACAGAATCCGAATTATTTTTGCTAAACTTAAATCGAAGTTGATCTTAAATCGAAAACAAATTATAGTAGTTAGTGCATCCGCCGAAATAGCAGAGGGTATGGGTTCGAGTCCCGTCTGCTGCCTGGACCGTGTTGATTTATTTTTAGTATATATTGTTTTTGTTTAAAATATCCAGCAGTTAAATGCTTAAAATAAATATAATAAACTTTAAAATATAGTATTTAAATATTAGCATTTTACCAGTATATTTTTATATTGTGATGCAATGTGCTCGACAGACTGGCCTCCGTTGGCTCGCTATTGAGAAGTTTGTCCGGTGTTATGAAATTCCCTTGGTATTTTCAGCCTTTGTGTGTCCAGTTAGCGCACTCCTGAACGCCTCTTGCGTTAAAGCTTTGATTGTCCAGTTTTATAGAAGTTATTTCAGTGGCGCTGCTAGCAGCCATTTCACTTCGGTTTTCTGTTTCGAAAACTCACTTATGGTTACCCACTATGAAAAAAAAAACCAGTAAAATGTTTATTGGGTACTCCGAAAAGTCTGTCAATATACAAACAGCGTGAATTCGTAGCTTTTCTACTAAATATATCTAATCCAATTTTCTGCTTAGATGATCTCTCCTGAAGCTATAATTCAGAATAAATGCAACGACATCTCACTGACAAAAAAATGACATTTTATATACCTATGTATGTACAGTGCAATTTACCTTTTATGCCTTAATCACACATACCGAGGAAGCGATCGAAATAGGTGCTCTGCACGTATAAACATAGCTAGCGTGTTTTTGTTGTTCAATAATGACTTAATATATTATACAGGGTGACAGGAAAACTCGACCTATTTATTCCTTAAAAGGGGTTATTCTAGAGGTTATTAGCAACGAATTAAGTCCTGTGAACTAGGGGTCAAAACTGGATGGTTAAAGAGTATTGTCGGTTCTTAGATTAAAAAAAAACTGACTTGCTGCCAAGAACAAGTAATTTTGAGTAAACTAATCCACTTTGAACATTGAATTGATACTTTTCTGAACCTTGTTGGAAAGCTTATGAAACTAGTTTGTCATTTTACTAATTTTCAAATTCCATACAGTTATTTTCCAATAATTTACGGCAAAATTCGGGAAAAATATAAATAATTGTTACTTAAGTCCTTCCATTTCGAGATTATGTAAGTTTTGGGCAAGCGTTTTATTTTAAAATGATAACAATTTTTTTCAGCTTTCAGAAAAGTATCAATTGAAGGTCCGATCCGAGTGGTTTACTCACAATTACTAGTTTTTGCCAGAAAGGCAGATTTTATTTTCTAAAATCGAAGAACCGTCACAACTCGGTAAACCTCCAGTTTTGATCCCTAGTTCACTGGTCTTAATTTGTTGCTAATGACCCCTACCATAACCACTTTCAAGGAATAGGTCGAGTTTTCCTGTCACCTATATTAATAATAACACTGTAAATCTCAAATTACTTGTACTTTAATACTTTTAGTATGATATGATATGACTATATTAAGGAATAAGTAACGCCTTAAAGAAAAAAGGAAACTAGCTTCATAAGAAATATCTTAATGATTTGTTCGCATAGCGTCCTAGTGCGTACCTCACGTAGTCTTTCTCTCTCGTAATGTCTTTCTCATAATCCATCGTAGTTCTTCTCATATTCTCGTAGTTATAGAATACTCGTGTGATCATTATAATGCCTTTCACCAAAAATTATATGATGTTTTTGGTATATAATTACTTATTATTATTATTTTTAAGTTGGGATATATTCCAACACGTAGAGGCCATTTTAAGCAACATCTACAGAGAGATAAAGTTTGTGAACTGTGACGTTATAGGGGGTAATTTCTGTATCTAATTACAATTACGCCGCGATGTGGCATGCTACTATGTGCGCATTCTACTACGACTATACCACGGCGAATGTTCTGAGGAGTTATTCTCCCTAATCCCTCCATCACCTTTTCTTCAGAGGACCACGCGCGCTGGCCTACGTTGCCACCGACTTACTGAAGCCACTATTCCTACACGAACATAGAAATTTGGTGACTCATTTCTTTGTCGTACTATTCGTAAGTGGAATTCTTTACCCGCGCAAGTGTTCCCTCCTTCCTATAATCTGGGGTCCTTTAAGAGAGGCGTGAAGAAGCATTTTCGCAGGCAGGCAAGGTGAGGATGATTGGTATAGCAGTTTATAACTGGTGTAACAGCTATCTTCGCGTTTGGACTTTATTACCACTTAACATCAGGTGGGGTAGAGTCATTTACCTACCTCTATATAAAAAAAAAAACTACTGAAACGATTTTAAAAATTACTTTACCAATAGAAAGCCATGTTTATATTATATTATATTTATGTCTTGGAAGTCACCGTAAGAAACACTGCACCACTATCCTTACATAACCACTATGCCCTTACTTTTTTGTATTATAGCATTTAGTATTATGATAATAACCATACTTATTTATGTTTTTGTCACATTTAAGGCCGTATTGAAAATTTGATATTCTTTTATTCATAGTTTGATTTCAGTAATACTCATTAATTGCTGAGCCTTTGTTTCTGATTTCCAACCGGTAAGAGACTGTAAATGACAAGCACTTTGACTTTAATAATATAAGAGTAAGTTATAACGATTAAGACTTAAGTGATTCTTTAATAAATAATTATAATTAACTTCTTACCGTAAACAGTTCCAATAGCTGCACCCAATTGGCGGGCGATAGCGCCGTCACAGAGGGAGTCGAAACATGCGCTTAGTGCACGCGCGCACGCACTCGTCCCGATCTGGTGGTAAAATGAACGCGTTAGCTCTATGTCAATACTAAGTGTCGGAAAAAAATGGCAAAAAAGCCATTAAAAACTATAACGGACGCGCTCCTGCCTTCTGTACTATAAAGTTCATCCCCGATGCCTCTAGTATTTGTTTTGATGCATATTAAATATTTAATCAATTGTGGTTCCGTTCTGGTTTTTTATATAATAATTATTATGAGAATTCTATTACGTTATTAAGTTTTCACAGTAGGAGCTCTGCTTAGTTTGGAACAAAATAAATGTTGTTGTGAGTTTTGCAAAAACTAATTTCTTGTAGTTTTTTTTTAAATTTTGTTTCCTCCCAGACTACTGCACTCAATGTAAACCAAAATGTTTTTATTCTTTCACAAAACTAACTTATTTGTAAACAAACTCAAAGTTAAAGCAAATCTTCTTTGGCTGATTAAGTACCTTCCTCTAAATTGATTAAGCCTCCAGATCTTCTCATTTATTATTAAATGGCTTTTAGACCAGCTTCACTATGCCTATCATGAGGATAACACAAGGTTTCTTAGTTAAGTAGCCAGTTTGAAAGCACTTTAACAGATGAGCTGTGAAATCAGTTTAGGGGATTTTGCACTCTATATGTTGATTGTTAGGTGAAATTTTAACTTGTAAACTTTGAAGGGCACCTACGAATTTAATATAAGAGGTAGAGAGGTTCTTCAATTCTTAAGTGTACCTAAACACCACGAGTTTTAGTAATTTTTGTTGTGTTATTGCAAAGATACGATACTAGATTAGGATAGAAAAGAATAAAACCGAAAATAAAATAAAATAAACATTGCAAATGAAACGGGCTCCTCTTACGGTAGTTGGTTTATTACTGACTCATTTGCGTGCGATGCGACGCAGCGCAAGCGCACATACACATCACTTCCTCCACACTTAGTTTTGGAACCTGTTAACAACAGTATTAATATTGTTTACAATTTAAAAGAATTTCCTATAATCAACTTCTTTTCTTTGACGCCTTTGGCGGGCCGCTACTGACGGAGGAACGAGCACAGGTTGCTCGGCCGCCGGCAATAACTCGTCGCCGGGGGCGTCGGGGGGCACGGGAGAGGGCCTGCCAGCCGGCGGCAGCGACGGGCCGTCTCCCGCGCCTTCCTCGCCCTCGCCCTCCCCACCACACTCCACTAATTCCTCTACGCAATCATCGTCCGCGGATGCATTGATCTCTTGTCGCTCACTATCTACCAATATGTCCGGACTAGCCGATGAATGCATGTTTGTATTTAACGGTTCGTGTATCGAGCTGTAGGGGGGAGACTGAGAGTCCGATGTATCATGTTATACGGTATTACTCCCTTTGTACTTAATTAATTGATCGACATGCCTAATAAAACTGCACGAAAAGTCAAACACACAAATTTTAAACATTCTTGAACCTACAATTTCTTCCACTCGCCCTAATCGCCATGATTCTTTACGGGAGCTGTACCATCGCCCCCATACAATATCACCAGGCACAAACGTTCTATTAGGGTTTAACTGACATTCAGTATATTTTTGACCATGGCTGTTAGATTTATTAGGAGAAACTAAATCTAATCGCGATTTAAGGTTGCGACCTAACATCAATTTCGAGGGAGTCTCTCCAGTGGAGCAATGTACGGCATTTCTATACTCGAATAAATATTCTAGTAACACTTCTGAAATAATACTTGGTGGCAAATTATCTTTGAGTATGCATTTTAACATTCTTTTACAAGTGCGCACTGAGTTTTCTGCCTGTCCGTTGCTGCACGGGTGATATACGGGTGAATTCAAATATTTGATTCCGTTGCTGGTACAAAATTCGATAAATTCTTAAAATTAATTTTCACGTGATACCAAAACATTAGGCAGACCGAAAACCGCGAAAATCTGTTTTAATTTAGTGATAAGGGATTGCGTATTAGTACCGTTATTCATGTGTATACACTCCACCCATTTGCTATATGCATCCACCACGACCAAGTATACTCTTTGCGCAATGCTCATGTAATCGATGTGAATGCGATCCCAAGGACCGGACGCGCGCGGCCACGGGGCTGGAGGCGCCCGCGGCGGCGCCGGCCGCAGGGCGACGCACGTCTCACATCCACCTATCCACTGCTCAATGTCTGCGTCTATGCCTGGCCACCACATTCTACTGCGTGCATTACTTTTCATTTTTATAATACCTAGATGAGTACTGTGCAGCTCCCTTAAAATATTATTTCTTAAAATTGAAGGAATGACAACTTTATGTCCCCGTAACAAACAACCATTTTTTAATTGTAAATCGGATTTACAGAGGAAGTATGGCTTCAATAAATTATTTTTCACGCTCCGCGGCCTACCGACATTAGTACATTTAATAACTGTTTTTAAAACCTGATCTTTTTCTGTTGCCAATTTAATGTCGTCCGCAGTAATAGCTGGTGAAACCGAACTTAAAAACTTTAATGAACTAAATGCATCTAGATTATTATCAGTTTCACATGAAGTTTGCGCTAACGGTGCACGAGAGAAAAAATCCGCAACAGAGTTTTCAACCCCTGATGTAAACTCCACTACATAATTATATGCTGATAGTATAATTGTATATCTCTGACGTCGAAGTGCGGTCGTTATGGAAATTCCCGTATTCTTATCAAAAATAGATACTAACGGTTTATGATCTTTTTTCAAAATGAACGGTTCGCTTCTGCCATAAATATATTGATGGAACCGTTTAACACAAAAAATTATAGCCGTTGCTTCTTTTTGGATTTGGCTATAATTACGTTCATTGGCTGTCAATGATCTCGAAGCGTAAGCCAGCGGTCTTTCTAACCCAGAGTCATTACGCTGTGATAACACCGCACCGAGGCCGTTGGGGCCGGCATCTGCAGCGAGCACCAGCTGCGCGTGCGGCTCAAAATGCGCTAAGACTCGCTCGGAAACCAACTCGGCCCGCACTCGCTGTACCGCCCCGCGCTGCCCCTCTCCCCACTGCCATTCCGCGCCCGCACGTAATAACTCGTGTAAGAGGCTTAGTAGTGATGACGCGTTCGGGATGAAATTTCTGTAGTAGTTAACTACACCTTTTTTTTTTGTGACGAGGGGAAATGCAGTTACGCACCATACCGTGACGCTGACTAGGCGCACGGCGTGTGTGGGACTCGCCGGCACGGGAAACAGTGCCGACCCTACTAAAGCAGGACCAGTGCGGAAGGCCACACTGATCCTACTCCACTAAAACCCCCCGGTACCCTCCTACGCCCATGTGGGGGCGTCTCGGGGCCGACGCACCTGCGTGCGCCACAACTCCGAGCACGCCCCCGGGCAGGCCCGGCCCAACGAGTGGACCGGGCGACGCACCTCAGGGGGACTGCGCTAAGGTACTAGGCAGTCCCCAGACGTGGTGGCCTATGCCGGAGCGGCACCTAGGGCGCGCGGCTGGTCAGGCCGCGCCCAGGCCACCTTAGGGCCGTCGAAGACCGGCAGTCACCGCTGCCTGCCTTCTTCGGCCCACCCGTCTACGCCGGAGAGGGGCGGCTAGAGCGTCCTCCTCCCGCTCCCTCCTTCTGCGCCATCACAGATTCGCAGAAGGAGGCGGCAACCCTCCAGGCTCTCTCGCTACCAAGCATGGCTCTGACCATACTTGGCAGCGTGAGGCCTCCTCCGCCGAGCGCCGCGATCAGATCGCGGCGCTCATCTCGCCAGGCCGGGCACACGATCAACGTGTGCTCGGCCGTGTCGTCGGGGGAGGCGCAGTGATGACACCGCGGCGTCTCCTCCCGACGGGCGAATCGGTGCAGGTAGTGACCAAAACACCCATGTCCGGTCAGTACCTGCACCAGGCGGTAGGTAGTAGTAGTAGTAGGTGCCCCGCTGGCGCCCTTCCCACTCCTCCAACACC